TCCACCCCATCGGGGGCGCGTGGCACGGAGGTGACTTCAGGTTCGCCGAGTGCAATAAGATCCACATGGAGAGCCAGGAAACGTCCACAACCAAACGTGACAACTGGCACGACTGGGACGCGCTGCTCACGGCGCGCGGGTGGGCCGTGGGGAACCAGAAAACGGAGACTGGCGCCAGGGGCCCGTCTTTATCGCGCGGGGTAGGAGGAACTGGAGGGATGAGGGGTCGGGACTCAAGGTCGGGAAGGATGGAGGAATGAGGAGGGAGGGAGACAGGCCGATTAGGGGTCGCACGTGCGATTTATTGACACGGATTGCGGCATATGTTGTTCTAGATGTCTCAGCGGATCCCCTTGCAATGAGCCCGAGTAGTTCTAATTTTCGATCGGCTCGAGGGCGCACCAGCGGGCCATGCCGGTCAAGGATTACTGCATGAAGCTCAAGAAGGCCCACGCCTGCGTGGGCGTGGGAGAACGATGCCGGCATATATTTGAGTAGCACGGAGTTGCCCATGAGGAGAGTTCCGTAATAGTAGGAAGGGTGAACACTAGAGCAGGGGACAGGATCGAGGAAAGATGAGAGGACAGGGGACATCTCGAGCTGGGGAGGTGGACTCCCAGACTGGCGAGACTCTCTTCCGCCGCCTGACGCTGGAGGGCGAGGGCCGCGAGGCAGCTGCACCTTGCTTTGCATGCGATGTGTACTAGTGTGAGCATGTGCAGGATTGATTCACGTGACTATCGAGTTGGAGCCATAGTATCCTCATCTCGAGCCCTAGGGAAATTCCCCATGCGAACCTCGAGGTGGGGGGCTTATCTGCTCCACATCTCGAGGTTCACAGTTCCGCACTCGCTGCGTGCGTCGCCCACCCCATCGCTCGAGGTCAAGAGGCAGACCTTGGAGACGAAGATGAGTACTGGCATGGTGCAGTCCGATGACGTGGTCAAGGCTCGGGGGGCTCGAGTGTGCTGCCTGCTTGCTCACATGGGCCCATCCTGCGCGCACCAACTCGCCTTTGCATTGGGCGCGAGAGTGCAAGTGAGAGCTCGGAGATGTTCAGGTGTCGATCGCCGCGAATTGTTCGAGGGCCCTCCTCCTCGATCCCACCCGACCGATCTCCCCCTCCATTGCGCAAACAATGGAGTCAGGGGAGGCGGGCGTGACATCGAAGGACAAGATCTTCGCGGACGACTCCGACTCCGACTCCAGCTACTCCGACGAGAGCTCTCTCGAAGAGGACAGGAAGGAATCGCGCGCCTGCGCATGGGAGGGATGGGGAGGCACTGGCAGGAGTGAGCGGGCCTCACAGCCTGGGACCATCAGCATCGATTCTATAATAGGAGCTCTCGAAAGTCTTCGAACACTCGATCCTCACCCTCGATCCTCACTTCCTCCTCCCCCCTGCAGCCCTCGGTTGGCTCTCGTCCGATCGGTGCTCCCAGGATGTATCGAAGAGGTCGGCCTCGAAGCCGTCGGCGTCGAACGAGCACGCTGCGGTGTGCGGGGCGCTGCTTGGCACGTGCAGCTCCATGCACGCGCGCTTGACTGGCATCGACGTGGGGAGGGGGGGTTCACGTGGCATGCGCACGCTCGAATCGATCGATCGACCGATCGATCGGATCCTTCCAACTCTGATCGAGCGATCCGTCGATCGAGATTTATCAATCGATCGATCGATCAATCGACCCGTCGATCGGTCGATCGATCAGTCGAGCTCCGATCGACCGATCCACAATATTGTTGGATCCGAGCTCCGATCGAACGATCTGTCGATATTGGTCAATCGATCGATCGATCCGTCGATCGATCGATCGATCCGTCGATCGATCGATCCGTCGAACTCCGATCGAGCGATCCGCGATTGTTGCATTCGAGCTCCGATCGATCGATCCGTCGATCGGCCGACGCCGTGCATGGGGATCGAGCCTCCTCTGGTAACACGGGATCCCGATGCGTGCATCGGGGCAAGGGAGGTGGCTTCCGTGCCGTGGCTCTCGCCGTTCTCTGCCCAGATCGAGGGTGCGGTGGCCAACCTCGAGGACTACAAGGAAAGCCTGACGCAGGGCATCCAGGGCAGGTCTGCCCTCCTTTTTTTCATTGCTGCGCATTCAGGGATGAGAGCATGCAAGATATGGAGGGTGAGAGGGCCCCTCGAGGCGAGCAGCGGCACGATCTCGCATCAGGCCTCCTGTCCCTGGGGCTCGAACGATCCCCTTTTATTCAGCCCCTCTCTTCCCTGGGAACGGTTGCGGGGCGACGTTGGCCCTGCAATGCTCCCTGGGGGATCGCCGAATTTCATAGCTGATCCGACGTTTGCACTTCCGACCTCTTTGCTCATCCCCCCAGCCCTCCATTCAGCCAGGTCGGCTCCGAACCTCGATGACATCAAGGTTGGCCTCGAGGAGGCGCGCTCGCCGCAGGGTCGGCGGGGGCTCTCTACAGTCAAGCGCGTGCAAAGACATATATATATATGTATACATACATATGCGCACCGAGCGGCCCTGGCCGTCGTCGAACTATCCCGAACACCTGTGTGGACATATCTATATATATATATACACACATTTATACATATGTGTATGCACACGAACGTTTTCCGCTTCAAGGCACCCTTGCACTCGCATGCAGACCGTCCGATGGCGTTGCATTTTATAGGCATGGGGAGAAATGGGAAAGGGGGAATTCAGTGCGAGGATCGTCGAGGGCAATTTAGGTGTGCACGATCGTGGAGGGATGCTCCGAACGATTTGGGACTGCCGATCGAGTATCCAAAAATCAATCGAGTCCGATCGACCCCCCTCGTCGGCGAGGCGACGCGGGTGTGGAACCTGATTGCCCCAGTGATGGCGACGGTAAGCGCGGCGACCACTGCGCTGCAAGACTCAGCGCAGCAGTAGGCGCCAGACGAATGCAGGCCCGAGGCTTCGAGCGTATCTAAAGGTAACACGTGACCGTGTGTGCGTGCTTGTGTGTTGTACGCTCGTCTTGCGCTCGAGTGCGCGATTACATGCACCATGCATCCGTGCGCACACGTGCGCGCGCGCCTGCCTCCTTGCTCCTCGATCGGGCCAGTTGACTTTCAAGAGCCAGCGTGCGGTCGCAGCACGCGCTGAATGCATTGCGCTGCATGCAGTGCGATGGCTCGCCATGATTTGGTTAGATATCGGATCCCGTCCTCCGGCCCGTTATATAAGGTGAGATTTGAGGACGGGGGCGGGGGAGTTGAGGATGTGGGGAGGTGGAGAAAGGAAAGCGGAGTAGGGTGGAGGAGGGTCTCGAGAAAGTAGGAGGCAGCAGCAGTAGAAACGGGGGAGGGAGAGAGGGAGAAGGATGCCCATGTACATAGCTTGCTGGAGGTCGGGCTGCAGGCGCCACGCCTGCTGCGTGCAAAGGAGATATAGTACCTGAGTCTCGAACGGTCGCTCGCAAATGCATTCCATGGTCAGCCTAAATGTACGTCGATGTTGTCGAGAATTCATAATATGGACATCGACCCCCCTATCGCAAACGTCTTAAGGGTACATGGGCCTGATGAGGTATGGATGAGTCGATGTATCCTGAGCGCTGCGCAGATCGACGTGGAACCTCGACTCGTGCATCGATCTATCCTGGCCCTTCGCTCGAGCTCGGGTGTGCACCTGTGAAGTGCGCGCGCATCCTCGAGCCTCAGGTTACTAAGTTTGAAGAGCCAGCGTGTGGCGACTGCATTGCAATGCAATGCGAGACGGTGAGTTGGTCCGAGAGACCCCTCTCGGCAGCGCTGTGGATGAGGAAGAGGACGCGGAGGATTGAGCTTGAGTAGGGGATTTGGGACGATGCGGAAGGAGATCGAGGAGAGGACGGAAGATGAGGATTTAGGGGTACCACGTGGAGAAAGTCGAGGGATAAGGATAGGAGAGTTATGGATATGCATCCAGACCAGCAGGCCAGACGCTCACGTCGAGCACAGATGGCGGAGAAAAGGCGGCAGCCGCTTGCAAGAGAGATCTCGAAGCATCGCGTGCACAGCCAAGACGCTGATATGAGGACATGTGATTTTCTGGCCGTTCCTTGATTTACGGCTCGTGGAACATGTTTGTGGCCTTGGCCCGCCGTGGCCAGAACGACCCCTTCGTTCCTTGACGATGAGTGCAGCCACGGTCGGCCGCATTTGCTTTCAATGATCAGCCCTCGCTGTTGACGGTGAGTGCATCGACGATGAGTGCAGCCCAGGCCCGCGTGCGGATCCGAGGGCGACGGGATGAGGAAGTGAACCTGTGCCGTCCTCGTGTTCGAAGCCTCCTTTGAAGCCTTCCTGGAAACCTCCGATTTCCAAATAGGTTGACACCGGGCGCTTGAGACATCCTCGCGCCACATCGGAAAAGATCGGCGGCCTCGATCGCTTGAGACATCCTCACATCCCCAGGTTCCGCATCCATTGTCCGTAGTCGTTTGCACGATCAAGCTTTTTGGAGATCTTTGGGACCGGCCCACCATCGATTGCACCATCGATCTTTCTGGCTTAGACCGCCTGTCACCATGGCAGCCCGTGCAGCAGCAGCATCGATGTTCATCGGTACGCCAGGGTCAGCAAAGCAGGTCGCGGACCTTCACGGGGAAGGGTTGCGAGAGCACCTACTCACCAGGTGGGGCGAGGGCATGGTCACGGCGCAGGACGGGGGGGGGGGGGGGGAGATCGTGCCGCCATCCCCGCCCCATCAAGTGGGGGTCGAATCAATCGATCGACGATGATATCCGCTGGGGCCCACGCGTGGCCCACGACAGTTTTATTCATCGAGGCCGCCCCCGAACATTCGAACATTGAGCGGCCGAGGATGGTGTCGATCCCCACCCCTCCCCAACAGGATGCGTGTACAATCGCGTGGCACTGCGCGAGGGCTGGGCTCCATGGCCTGGGCGGTTTAGCATGTGACCCTGTAGGTTCAGCGCGCCGCGCCCACCATATTCGGGAAGCGCTTGGGATGAACAATAACGATGCGTTTTACACCACAGAGGCCCCCATGTGGGATTCAGACACCCAGGCGCGCACCTACGGCAAGTTCCCCGTGCCTCTACCGCGCGTGACTTTCAGCAGCACCTACGAGGCAAACCCTTCAGACTATGATATTCGCCGCCTGGGCGCCCAGAACGTGCCGCCGCACTTCGAGAACCACGCAGCGAAGCTTATGAAAGGCGATCTTGCTGTCCCAGTGGGGTACTACTCCGACGGAGTACCCCACACAAAGAAAGGCAGCTTCATTACATTCTCGTGGAGCAACTTTGCGACGTCGGCCCGCCACACAATCAATCGCCATCGTCCGAAAGAGCGATGTATGTCAATGCGGCTGCCGAGGGATGTGCACCCTGGCAGCCGTCATGAGAATCATAGTTTGGTCATTCAATGTGATGTCCACAGGGCTGTTTCCCGACCGTGGCCACGACGACAAGCCATTCGCTGACGAGATCCGTGCTGCGAAACGTGGCTTCGCGTTGGCTGGCGGGCTATGCGCCGCCGTCTGCGAGATGAGAGCTGATCTGCTGGAGATCCACCAGGCGTGTGGATTCAAGCGGTGGGATCACGTGGAGCACCCTTGCTGGGCATGCAATTGCCACAAAGGACCCACTGTTTGAGTTCCTCCTGTCAGTGGCGAGCTGCCCATGGGTAGACAAGGGCCTCGTGGAATACGCCGAGGTGATACGCTCAGATGTGAAGACGGTTACAGTTACTTCTAAGGCACAGTTCAAGCGTTTGCTGAGATGTTGTCGCCACGATCCTGAATTGTGGGGATTTGGCACCTGGTGTAATTTCAGCGAGCTCGACTTGCCGTCGGGGCACAGACTGCTCCACAGGGGCGCTGTCAACGACGCCCATGAGCTCGGCGAGGTGGAGGGCCAGATCGGCCCAGGTCGCCCTGTTCAGTTGCATTTCTGCGACGTTCATGACCATGCGGGGATCAACTTCGTGGCGCCAATCCTGGGCGTCGCGGGGTTCACGGCGTCGATGATCTGCGTGGACATCATGCACGCGCAGGATCTCGGCTGCACGCAGAGGCTGGCGGCCACAGTCTTCTGGGCCCTCACCGAGGCAAACTTTGCAAGGAGTGAGGCTCGGACAGGGATCATCCGTAGAGTGCGCGACCTGATCCACCTGAGGCGAGGAATGAAATCATGCTACCTTGCCAATGCTGCCCTTTTTGCGCGTGGATCCCAGTCGAGAATATTCAGGATTAACCTGGAGATGCCCGGGGGCTTGCACCAGCCGAGGCTCCGCGCCGAGGCTGCCGAGACAAGGCACCTTGTGCCCCTTCTCCCTGCATTATGTACTGAAAATGCTGCAGGGTTTGCTAATGGTGCTAATGTTTCCATCCCGCCCGCGCGCGTCCCGGATGAAGTTTCATCAGCTTATCGAGCGCAACCCTCGGCTAATGCGTGTCCAGTCCCAAAGCGACATGGAAGCGAGCATGTTGGCATTCCTTCAGTACTGGAAGGCCGCTGGCGGCCACTGCACACACAAGCACCACATGTGCTATCACCTTGTGAAGTCCGCCAGGGTCCTGGGTAACCCCAGGTTCTACCGGGCATACGTCGACGAGGGGGCCAGTCGTGCGCTGGCCGCCGTTGCGAAGTCAGTTCGCCACGGCCCCACATTTTATCTTGCCTTTCTTCAGAAGTACATGGTTGCGCGAGCTGCAGAAAAGTGCGCGCGAGCGCGTGGGAGAGAGAGAGAGAGAGAGAGAGAGAGAGGGAGAGAGAGAGAGAGAGAGAGAGAGAGAGAGAGAGAGAGAGAGAGAGAGAGAGAGAGAGAGAGAGAGAGAGAGAGAGAGAGAGAGTGAGAGAGGGGAGGGCGGGGAGAAGGAGGGGGGGGGGCAGGAAAGGACAAGCAGGACCCCGCGCGCTTGACGCGGACGTCGCCGCGGCACCCGGGGCTTCTCCCGTTCTTCTCTGTTTTGTCATGCTCGTCAAAGCAATTGGTTGTTCCATGTTACTTAGGCCTTCACTTGTATTTCCCCCCCCTCCCTCCTCTCCTCCTCCTCCCCGTCCTCTCCTCCCCCGTCCCCGCCCCCCTCTGGGGCCTAAGCTTGACCCCAAAACAGAGGGCAGGTAACTCTAAATTGAGGTGTTCCTCCTCCTCCTCTTCCTCCTCCCCCCTCCTCTACCCCCCCGCCCCCTCTGTTCCTTCCCCCCTCATCAGGGGCTAGCTTTTCTCCAACAAAAGAACCAGAAAAAACTGAAGGGGGAAGCGCAACAAACCAAATTTTTTTACACGTGGGTGTCATTCCATTTTCATCCCATCGCCCCCCCCCCCCCCCCCCCCCCCCCCCCCCCCCCCCCCCCCCCCCCCCCCCCCCCCCCCCCCCCCCCCCCCACGCCCCCCCCCCCCCCCCCCCCCCCCAGACCCCCTGCCCCCCACCCCCCCCCTCCCCCCCCCCCCCCCCCCTTGAGGGGCTAGCTTTCTCCAAGCAAAAGAAGGCAAAACGCCAGGAAGGACGCAGGCTAAATTTTTAAACAGCTGAGGTCTTTCCATAGTATCCCCACCACCCCCCCCCCCCCGCCCCGTAAGGGTGGTATCTTTGGTCGGTGGCGCGTGTGTTCCTGGTTCTCATGTGCGCCCTGCGTCTCCTCTACTCTCCTTCTCTCTCTCTCTCTCTCTCTCTCTCTCTCTACCTCTCTCCTACTCTCTCTATCTCTTCCTCTCACTCTCTCTCCCCTCTCTCTCTCTCTCTCTCTCTCTCTCTCTCTCCCTCTCGTTCTTTCTGTCTGTATTAGTTTTTCGTTTGCTTTTGATTGGATTTCAATGAAAGGAGAGCGGAGCCCAGATCCAGAGGATTTCTATTTGGATTCTAATTAGATTCCAATTGGATTTCAATAGAAATGGAATGGATTCCGCATCCAGAAGATTCCATTGAAATCCAATGAGATTTCAATAGGATTTCAATCGAAAGAGAACGGGTCCCAGGTCCAGAGGATTTCTATTTGGATTCTAATTAGATTCCAATTGGAATTCAATAGAAATGGGATGGATTCCGCATCCAGAAGGTTTTATTGAAATCAATAAAAACGCTGTGTTTTCCAATATTCCAATTATTTCCAATATTTTCAAATAAAAACGCTGTGTTTTCAAATTTTCCAATGTTTTTCAAGGTTTCGGGTACGGCAACGCTGTGTTTTCCAGTTTTTTATTTAAAAATCAATAAAAACGCTGCGTTTTCCAATTATTTCAATGAAAAATCAATAATAACGCTGTGTTTTCCAATCTTTTTAATCGAAAATCAATAAAAACGCTGTGTTTTCCAATCTTTTTATTAACAACTCAATAAAAACGTGCGTTTTCCAATTATTTTAATGAAAAATCAATAAAAACGCTATGTTTTCCAATCTTTTTCAACAAAAATCATTAAAAACGCTGTGTTTTCCAATTATTTTAATGGAAAATCAATAATAACGCTTTTTTTTTTTTTATAATTTTTTAAAATAAAAACGCTGTGTTTTCCAATCTTTTTAATGGAAAATCAATAAAAACGCTGTGTTTTTTTTTTTTTAATTAAAAATAAATAAAAAAAAAAAAAAAAAAAATTAAAAAAAAAAACGAAAAAAAAAAAAAGCAGTGTTTTACAATCTTTTTGAACAAAAATTAATGAAAACATTGTGTTTTCCAATGGTTCCAATAATTTTCCAATAAAAACCTTGTGTTTTCCAATTTTCGAATATTTTTCAAGGTTTTCCAGCAAGGATCGCGCGTCGCCCCGTTGCCGTACCCGAAACCTTGAAAAACATTTGAAAATTGGAAAACACAGCGTTTTTATGGGAAAATATGGGAAATAATTGGAATTATTGGAAAACACAGCGTTTTTATTGATTTTCAATTAAAAAGATTGGAAACACACATCGTTTTTATTGACTTTTGATCAATAATATTGAAAAACACATCGTTTTCATTGATTTTTAATGTCTTCACATAGAACCCAAAGGAATATTATACAAAAAATCCATAAATACATGCAATAATAATTTGTGCGCACGCTTACGCCTTGAAGCGGTTCTAATGCGTTTCCCACATGTTTCCACACTTCTGGCGCATCTGTGGCGCCGCTGTTTTTTCTGGCATTTCGTGTTTTCACACAGAATCCCAAAGAATCTGAATGAAAAACCAAAACTACATGAAGTAATGATGTGTTCGCGCGTTTACGCCTTCAAGCGTTTCTAATGCGCTTCCCATATGTTCTCACACTTCTCGCGCATTTGCGGCGCCGCTGTTTTTTTTCTCGCACGCATTGCTCTCGCACAGAATCCCAAATAATATTATTAAAATCTGTAAATACATGAAGTAATAGTGTGTGCGCACGATTACGCCTTGAAGCGGTTCTAATGCGTTTCCCATGTGTTTCCACACTTCTGGCGCATCGGTGGCGCCGCTGGTTTTTCTGGCATTTCGTGTTTTCACATAGAATCCCAAATAATCTGACTAGAAACAATAAATACATGAAGTAATAGTGTGTTCGCACGTTTACGCCGCCAAGCGTTTCTAATGCGTTTCCCATATGTTCCCACACTTATGGCGCATCTGTGGCGCCGCTGTTTTTTTCTCGCATTTATTGATTTACACAGCTCCCCCGAGAGTCTTAGCTTCCCTGCGACAAGGCGCAGAGGGCCACAATGAAGCCCAAGGGGGCGCGGCAAGAACGGCAGAGAGAGAGAGAGAGAGAGAGAGCGAGAGAAGGAGAGAGAGAGAGAGAGAGAGAGAGAGAGAGAAAGAGAAAGAGAAGAGAGAGAGGAGAGAGAGAGAGGAGAGAGGAGAGAGAGAGAGAGAGAGAGAGAGGAGAGAGGGAGGGAGGGAGAGAGAGAGAGAGAGAGGAAGGATGGACATGATTATAATTATAATGACGATGACGACCACCACACACACCACAAGAAAACACATACACACACAAGCCACCTACACAAAGATACCACCCCCACCCCACCGCCCCCCCCTTGCCCCCCCCCCCCCCCCTCAGGGGCTAGCTTTTCTCCAACAAAAGAATACAAAACGAAGGCAGCGAAACAGGCAAATTTTTTAACAGTTTAGGTCTTCCATTTTTTATCCCTCCCTCCCTCCCTCCTTCCCCTTCCTCTCCCCCCCCTCCTCCTCCTCCTCCTCCTCCCCCCCTCCTCCTCCCTCCTCCTCCTCGCCCTCTCTCTCCCCGCCCCCGCCCTCGATCCTCTGGGGCCTAGGCTTTCCCCACAAGAGCCGCCTGCAGGGCGGCGAACTGAATCCGCTAAGTTGGGGTTTTCTTCCTCGATCCTCCTCCTCGGCTTCCTCCTCCTCTTCCGGCCGCGAGGCCAGCATAGACCGATCAGGTCGACGGCAGCAGGCCGGGAGGCGTGAAGGGCCCCGCCCTCGCTCCTCCTCCTCCTCCTCCCCCGTTTCTCCCTCCTCCTCCTCCTCTGCTGGCTGGCCCCCTCGCCCCCCTCCTCCTCCTAGTCCTCTTCCTCCTGGATTTGTGGAGCCCAGGACTCGTGGAACCCAGCCCGCGAGGTTTCGCGGTCAGGACTCGTGGAGTGGATGTTTGCTGCCGCTGCCGTCGTCGCTGTGGCGATCATCATTGCCATCGCCATCGCCATGGCCAGGGAGCGCGCCTGCGACCTGCAGTGGCGACCTTGCGGGGGGATCCCCCAGGGCACTGTCGGCGCCCCTGGTTCTCCTCCTCCTCCTCCTCCTCTTCCTCCTCCTCCTCCTATACTGCCGCAGGTTCAAGTTGTCACTTTTTTTTGTATGTCCCAATTTTTGCTGATGAAGCATTTTTTGTGACGTTTGCAGACGTCCCAATTAAATTGGGACGGCAAGATGTCAGGGATTCCATCTCGCTCCCAGTTCCGCCCCCGCCTCCCCCCGCTCCCCGCAGTGGGTCAGCCCGCGAGTGCGAAGCGCCAGTAGCAGGTGTCACCCAGCTCCCGGAGGCTGAGGACGATGCTCCCGGTGAAACCACGAGGCGGCTGTGGACGGGAGCTCTAGAGAGGGTCGCCACGAGCCTAACCAGCTCACAGTAGCGGGCGGCGCCGCCCACCCACCACGGGGACAGGCGACCAGACCGCCCCCCCGCATTGGCGGGCCTCTCACCACAGAGGCCGCCAGATGACGGGGGAAGAGCTATTGAGAGACGGCATCGCGGCCGACGGCTGCCCCCCCCCTCCATCTCTGTATATGCAATCGTGACAACGGTTTTTGGCTGCACCTCCATTCCTCTTGCTCCTCCTCTCGACCGAGATACGCGTACAGCGGCTCTTGGCAGCGCCCCC